TCGTCGGCGATGTATCGCCGATTCCAGGTTGATGGTTCACGTTCTCAGCTGGTCCGAAAATCGCTCCTCATGCAGCCCAGTCAGGAGCCACGCGCCAGCCTTTGTCAGAGTGGAAGGCCATAGCAGGGTCAAAGCCAGGGCCAGAGCCAGGCATCAACGACGAAACTTCGGCATGAGCAAAAACTCTGGTCTGGGCGGATTTCTTGAGTCTGCGCTGGATCCCCCTGGCGGCGCCTCCAGCGTCGCCGCTGACGCGAATCGCCACTAGTGGGGGGGTCTTCCAGCGCTGCTCGAAGAACTCTGCATGGACTTCCGAATGTTTTGCTGATGCATCTTCTAGGGTAGAAGCCAGGGCAGGCTGGGGTGGGGATCGGGATGCCCAGTACATCAACGTTGCTGACTTTTTCCCAAACATCCTGTGGTGTTGGGTCATCGTTTTGAAGAGACAGCGCCCCGCCGCGTCTCCTTCCTCCTCCTCTCCGCTCCTCCTCCCTCCTCCCATGCCCGCCTCTGCTTCCGCATGTCCGCATCACCATCATTATCGTCAGCGGCAAAATCACCATCACCTGCTTCTTCTCCTGCTCCTCCTCCTCACCATCACCATCACCACCACCACCACCATCATCACCATCATCATCATCTTCACCACCACCATCACTATCGCCATCACCATGACCATGATCATGATCATCGTCGTCATCATCATCATCATTGATGCCATCAGTAAAAGTGCAACACCATCACCAGCGACAGTATCATTACCACCATCACAAACCTCATCATCATCATAATGATGATCATCATCATCATCACCGTCATCACCATCATCATCATCATTATCATTATCATCATCACCATCACCATCACCATCACCATCACCATCACCATCATCATCATCATCATCATCATCATCATCATCATCATCATCATCATCATCATCATCATCATCATCTCATCGTCATCGTCATCGTCATCATCATCATCATCATCATCATCATCATCATCATCCATCATCATCATCATTATCATCATCGTCATCATCGTCATCGTCATCGCCATTGTCATCGTCATCGTCATCGTCATTGTCATCGTCATCGTCATCGTCATCGTCATCGCTTATCGTCATCGTCATCATCATCGTCATCGTCATCGTCATCGTCACCTTTATCGTCGTCATCGTCGTCGTCATATTCGTCGTCGTCGTCGGTCGTCGTCGTCGTCATCATCGTCGTCATCGTCATCGTCATCGTCATTGTCATCGTCATGTCATCGTCATCACCATCATGCCATCATCATCAGCATCATCATTACCATCATCATCATCACCACATTATCATCATCCCATCATCACCATCACCATCACTCATCATCATCATCATCATCATCGTCATCATCGTCATCGTCATCGTCAATCGTCATCGTCATCACCATCATGTCATCATCATCATCATCATCATCATCATCATCATCATCATCATCATCATCATCATCATCGTCATCGTCATCGTCATCGTCATCGTATCGTCATCACCATCATGCCATCATCATCAGCATCATCATTACCATCATTACCATGATCACCATTATCATCATCGTCATCATCATCATCGTCATCGTCATCGTCTTCGTCATCGTCATCGCCATTGTCATCGTCATCGTCATCGTCATCGTCATCGTCATCGCTATCGTCATCGTCATCATCATCGTCATCGTCATCGTCATCGTCACCTTTATCGTCGTCATCGTCGTCGTCATTTTCGTCGTCGTCGTTGTCGTCATCATCGTCATCGTCATCGTCATCGTCATCGTCATTGTCATCGTCATTGTTATCGTCATCACCATCATGCCATCATCATCAGCATCATCATTACCATCATTACCATGATCACCATTATCATCATCGTCATCATCATCATCGTCATCGTCATCGTCTTCGTCATCGTCATCGCCATTGTCATCGTCATCGTCATCGTCATCGTCATCGTCATCGCTATCGTCATCGTCATCATCATCGTCATCGTCATCGTCATTGTCATCGTCACCTTTATCGTCGTCATCGTCGTCTTCGTCTGCGTCGTCGTCGTCGTCGTCGTCGTCGTCGTCGTCGTCGTCGTCGCCGTCATCGTCATCGTCATCGTCATCGTCATCGTCATTGTCATCGTCATTATCATCGTTTCCATCGTCATCGTCATCACGATCATCTTCCCAATCCTCCGGTGTCAGACCTCTTACATTTTTCGTGGCCCCATAGGGAGCTCTACCGGAGGGCTCCAGTGGCTGCGTTCGCATGGCGCACCGGCACCCGATTCGGCACGCCCCTTACACGTTTCGTGGCCCCGTAGAGAGCTCCTCCTGAGGCCCCAGCGGCTGCGTTCGCATGGCGTACTGGCACCCGATTCGGCACACCCCTCACACGTTTCGTGGCCCCATATGGGAGCTCCATCGAAGGCCCCAGTGGCTGCGTTCGCATGACGTACCCGCCCCTGATTCGGCACGCCCCATACGGAGCTCAACCGAAGGCCCCACTGGCTGAGTTTGCATGGCGTGCCCTCACCCGTTCCCTGGCCCCGTGGGGAGCTTCTCTGGCGGCCCCAGTGGCTGGGCTCGCATGGCGCACTTGCCCCTGAATCGGCAAACCCCTCACACGTTTCGTGGCCCCGTAGGGAGGGAGCTCCTCCGAAGGCTTCAGCGGCTGCGTTCACATGTGGCTGCCGCGCCCGTTCACGTGTGGCTCAAGCTCTGGCTCGAAGCATCCTGTCTTAAGTTTGGAGGGAAACCCATCCCCCCGCCCAACGGCTTATATTCCATTCCTTTTCACGCCACACTCTGCGGTGGTGCCCACCATGAGCGCGTGCCGCGTCGCGTCCTTCGTGTCGGGGCCCGTGATCCGCTGCGCCCTGCTCGGCCTCCTCGTCTCCGCGCTGCTGACCGCGGCCTGCCTCTCCGCCTCCGGCGGGGACGCGGGCCAGAAGGTGGCCGCGGCGCTCGAGGAGACGTGGCTGGTCGTGGCCCTGCTCGTCGTCCACCTCGTGGTCTCCCGGCTCCGCGGCGACGCCCCCCCGAAGCCGCACAAGAAGAAGGCGGGCGCCGCCCCCGAGGGGCGCGGCCGCGAGGCCGCCCTCGCCCCCGCGCCCGGCGGGGCGGCGGCGCGCGGCGCCCCCTCGGGGGACGACGCGCTCCGCGCGGAGGCCATCGGGAAGCTCACCACGAGGGTCCGCGCCCAGGTGAAGGCGGGCGACATGGCGGGCGCCGAGGAGTCGATGCGGGAGATGCGCGAGGTCGGCGGTGCGCCGGGGCGCCTGCGCAGGCCCTGCTGGGCGGTGGCGTTCGGGGAGGTGGTGGGCGGCTACGTCCGCGAGGGCAGCGCCGCGAAGGCGAGCGAGTGGCTCGGCGAGTTCGCGGCGTGCGTGCCCGCCATCCGTCCCAGCACCGCGTGCGTGAACTCGGTGATCGTCGCCCTGTGCGCGAGCGGCGACCCGGCCTCCGCGGAGGCCTGGGTCGAGAGGATGCCCGAGATCGGGATCCGGGTGGGCGAGGACACGTTCTCCAGCCTCATCAGCGGCTGCGTGCGGGCGGGCGACGTGCCCCGCGGCATCCGCTGGCTCCGTGAGATGCGGAAGGCGAAGCTGCGCCCGAGCGCCGAGCTGAACTCGCTGATGGTGCAGGCGTGCGCGGGGGACTGCTAGGGGCGCCGCCGAGTGAGGGCTTGTCTCGGACGCGGCAGCCACGACCCGCCCGGCCGAGGTAATAGCAGCGAGTCCCTCCCATCTCCTGCCGCTTCGCCCTTCTTCTTCCGTCTTCCACCTCCTTCTCCTCCATCCTTCCATCGTTGCTACGGGGCCATGTGTGGCTGCCGCGCCCGTTTCGGCGCACCCCTCCCCCGTTTCGTGGCCCCTTGTGTGATCTCCACGGAAGTCCCCAGTGGCTGCGTTCGCATGCGTGCCCGCCCCTGATTCGGCACCCCCCTCACACGTTTCGGGGCCCCATGGGGAGTTCTTCTGGTCCACTGGCTGCATTCGCATGGCGCACCCGCCCCTGATTCGGCACACTCCTCACACGTTTCGTGGCCCCACATGGAGCTCCTTCGAAGGTCTCAGGGGCTGCGTTCGCACCGCGTGTCCGCACCCGAGTCGGCACACCGCCTCACACGTTTTGTGGTCCCATAGGGAGCTCCTCCGAGGGCCCCAGTGGCCGCGTTCGCATCGCATGCCCGCTCGGCACACCACCTCACACGTTTCGTGGCTCCACAGGGAGCTCCTCCAGCGGCCCCAGTGGCTGCGCTCGCATTGCGTGTCCGCACCCGATGCGGCACACCGCCTCACACGTTTCGTGCCCCCATAGGGAGCTCGTCCGGCTCCCGACTTCCCAACTCCAGTTCCTATCTCTCCGACTCCGGCTCCCAATTTTCCGACCAGTTCCCTCTCTCCGATTCCGGTTCCCAACCGACTCCAGCTCCAATCTCTCCGACTCCGGCTCCCAACTCTGCGACTAAGGCTTCCATTTTCCCGACTCTGGCTCCCACCTTTCCGACTCCAGCTTCTACCTCTCCGAGTCCAGCTCCCAACTTTCCGACTCGGGCGCCCGTCTCTCCGACTCCGGCTCCCAGCTCTCCGACTCCGGTTGCCAATTTTCTGAATCCACACCGGCCTTTCGACTCCAGCGTCCAAGTTTCTGACTCCAGCTCCCTACTTTCCGACTTCGGCCGAGTTCCGAGTTCAGACCTGAGGCGCCCCGGCGCAACCTCCGCTCCTTACAGGTGACGCCCCTTGGGCGACATCGGCGCCGCTCCGCTCCGCTCCGCATAGGGAGCTCTACCGGAGGGCCCCAGTGGCCGCGTTCGCATCGCGTGTCCGTACCTGAGTCGGCACACCGCCTCACACGTTCCATGGCCCCATAGGGAGCTCAACCGAAGGCCCCACTGGCTGCGTTTGCATGGCGTGCCCTCACCCGTTCCCTGGCCCCGTGGGGAGCTCCTCTGGCGGCCCCAGTGGCTGGGCTCGCATGGCGCACTTGCCCCTGATTCGGCAAACCCCTCACACGTTTCGTGGCCCCGTAGGGAGGGAGCTCCTCCGAAGGCTTCAGTGGCTGCGTTCACATGTGGCTGCCGTGCCCGTTTCGGAATACTCCTCCCCCGTTTCGTGACCTCCTATGTGTGGTCTCCACCGAAGTCCCCAGTGGCTGCGTTCGCATGTCGTACCCGCACACGATTCAGCACACCTCTCTCACGTTTCGTGGCCCCACAGGGAGCTCGCCCGAAGGCCCCAGTGGCTGCGTTCGCATGGCGTAATTACCCGCCCCTGATTCGGCCCACCCCTCACCCGTCTCGTGCCAGCATAGGGAGCTCCTCCGAAAGCCTCAGATGCACCGCCCACATGCCGGTGCTGCACCCGATTCGGCACACCACTGCACCCGTTTCGTTGCTCCAAGGGAGCTTCCTCAACATGCGGGCGTCACCTCCGTTTCGGCACATCCTCCACACGTTGCGTGGCCCCACAGGGGTTTTCCACCGAAGCCGATTCTCACAATTGCGTTATTCTCACCTGCAGATGGCTGGGCCCTTCCTTCGCCATCGGCGTGGCCTCCCGAGGTCTGGACCCTGTCCACAGGACCGCGGGGGTGCTGCGAACTCGGAGGACGCGCAATGGGGGGGACGGGGCGATCAGTGGGGGTCAGCGAGGGCTGCCGAGAAGGGGCCTTTTTTGGGCCCCTGACCGAAAGGGGGCCCCTTGGGGTCCAAGAAGGGGCTCCTCGGGCCCGAGGAGGGCACCGCTCCCTCTCTCTCCCCCTCGTTTTGCCTCCCCTTAGCTCGCGCCCTTTAGGGCCTAGGAGGGGGCCCTGAGGGCCCGAGAATGCCACCGGTCTTTCCCCCCCCCTCCCCTCCATGTGTCGCTCCCCCGTTACCGTGGCGACCCATGCCAAGAAGCACCCTGCTCGCCTCCAGGGTGCCCTGGGTTTCTTGGGTTTCCATGGTTTTGCTGTGAACAGCGTGACGCTCCCACACCCAAGCATCGGTGGACGTCCTGGGGTGTCAGGGTTGGGTTCCCTGTGGAAGGTTTCTTGTGGTCGGGCCCCTACTGTATCGCTCCCCCATTACTTCGCGCCCAGCGAGAGCTGCCGCGTGACCCGGTGGCTGCCGGTCCGCCGCCCCGCGCCCTCCTCGCCGCCGTGGCCGCCTCCAGCCGGGCGGCGCGGGGAGGAGGAGCCACATGCGAGGCAAGATTTCTGTACGCAGCCACTGCGTCTTGGACTTTCTGGGGAGGGGCGCCCGAATGCCGAGGCGCTGTGGATATGAATAAAACTCTACCTTGTACAGGGGAGACATGTTTGTCCATCATCATTGCGCCACTGGTTCCTAGGGGAAGGGAGCCCGAAACTCCCATACGCAATGGATACGGATACCAATCTTGCCCGCGCTGATTCCCCCCCCCCTCCCAGTGCCGTCCTCCCATCTCGTCCGACCCGCAACTCCGTCGGCCGAGGGAAACGCCGAGCAGCGTACACGTTCGGCGGTGAGCGAAGGGGGGGCAGTGGGAAGGAGAAGGCCCTCTCAGAAGGCAGCGGGGCTTCTCAGCAGCCCGCGCTCTCGCCTTCCGAGAAGTTTCCCGTGCCTTCGGCGAAGGCTCAGGAAACTCATCAGAAGGCCAGCGGACTTCCGAGCATTCCGAGAAGGCCCGCCCCATCTCACTTCCCCCCACGGGCTCGCCGCCGATGCATAAGCGCAACCTTTCGGATGTCCGCGCGGATCTCTTGGGTTGGCGCTGGGCCCCCTGTGGTGGTACTTCTAGCGCCGCACCTGGCGCGTTCCGCGCGCTGGGTGAGAGGGGTTGCAGGGCCCACCCAAACAAACATGGGTGGACCTTCGAAAATGTATGCTCATGCCGTTCAAATTTGTCAAATATCTCCTCCCAGATCAGCGCGATAATCAGATGTTTTTCTTCACCTCCCGTCCGCTCTCTCGTGCGCCTGTTTAGATGTTATTTGAGTGGCTTGCGCCATTCCGTTGACCACCACAAGGAGTGAGTGTTTGAGACGATCGTGGAAGCTATATATTGGGTCAGGAGCCTCCTGGATGAATCTGCCCAGCGCAGCACCTAGCGCGCTCCGCGCGCTGGGTGAGGGGGGGTTGCAGGCCTGGCCCAAGAAACCTGGGCGGACCTTCGAAATTGTATGCTCATGCCGTTCAAACTTGTCAGATTTCTCCTCCCAGGTCAGCGCAATAATCACATGTTCTTTTTCACCTCCCGTCCGCTCTCCCGTGCCCCTGTTTAGATGTTATTTCCTTGCTACGCTGCGTTTTCTTCTGTCGCCTAGGTCGATGTGTAGTTCCGGTTCGGCTTGGTAGCTACCCTACCGCTAAAATTCAAGATCTTCGCTAGTCTGGGATCTCTTGAGGGCATTCAGGCGAGAAGCTGGGATTCTTGATCGTGTCGTTCATGGTACGTGCGCTCATTGGTTTCAGGCCCAGAGTGGAGCTATGTAGCAGATGTAGTCTTCGGTACATTCTGCACTCGCAGAAATCGAATTGGTTTACATAGACATGCGACAAGTTGGCGCTGTAATCTTTGAGAAGTAGTCTGAGGATGCGAATTTGGATGGTTCCTCCAACGTGGCATGTGCATTTTGAGTGAGCTTGAGTTGCTGAGATCGTTGTGCCTTGTCGCTGTTGCCATTCATACATATTCGACTTGCCTGAGACCTAGCACACGGGTGTGCAACGCATAGGCGTTGTTTTGTACATGTTTTGCGACACCGACGCTTCCCATGAGGTCTGAGACGCCCCCCGCTCGATACTTGCGGATTTCCTCACCAAGCTGTTCCCAACATAGCCTAAGCCTGCGACGCAAAGACAGACCCATGGATTGTAGCGTTGATGATAGTTTTAGGGCCACTCCGTTTTGGAAACATTGGGCATGGCTGATGCTTCGTAGGGGGCCCTGGAACAGGTTTCGTCTGACATGTATTTCTTCAGTGCGCTGCTTCTCTCTTTTTCATATGCCTTCCCGCCAACACTGTTCCAATATATTCCATCCTTCAGTGTCCATTCAATGGCATGGTGTCCGAAGCGGCGCGCAGGCGTATGCAGATGCGAACCCTGGGTGGACGTGGCTGGTACCTGGGGGCTCAACAAGTACGGCACAGTGATTCAGCCCATTTCCCTGGAGCTACCCGCTCGGCAGAATAGTTCGACGAGTACACACCCACCGTGGATTTTTTTGTTCTGCGCGGTCTGCTGTTTCGTATACCTGAGCTTCGGAATGCTGCTGTTTGCACGTCGTTGCAGGTCTGTGCCATTTGACTTCACGCCGATGGGTGCCTGTGCGTGCACACGAACTCTCACGAACCTATGTGCGCGAGCTAGTTAGTTAATTCTTTTCCAGATGACTACGGTAACCTCTGCCACAATGGCAACGGAGCATCGGCATGCATGCAGGGTTGTTCTAGCGATGCCGTCGAAGAGGCTCGGTAGAACATCTTGGGGCCGTCAAGGGGGCGGCTCTACGGAGCTGTAGCGTGGCGCAGCCGCAACGTTGCATTGGGCGTGACGTTGCGTTTTGGGTTTTCTTGGAGCTCTTGTTGGGGGCTTCCCGGGGACACTTGAGGCTTCTTCTGGGACTCAGGGGTTCCTCTTGGGGGCCCGTTGGATGCTTACTGGAGGTCTCGGGGCCGTCCTGGGAGCGACGGTTCTCCTGTGCTCTCCTGCCGTCTTCAGCAGTCTCGGGGGGATTTTTGGGCCGTCATGGGCCCTTCTGGGGACTGTCGTATGCTGTCTTGGAAGCTTCTTAGGCTTAAGCATCACAGTGCCTAGCTGGAGGTCTCGTTGGGCGTCTCTTGGGGGCTTCTGGGGCCTTTGGGGCCTCTTGACCCTTGGGCTTCTCGTCGTGCAGGCCGTCGGGGCCGTCTGGTCGGCTGTCGAGGGCGTCTTGGAGCTTTCTTTGGGGTAGTATTGGCCCGTTTTTTTTTTTTTTTTTTTTTTTTTTGTTTTTGTTTTGTTTTTGTTGATTGTGTGTGCGTGTGTATGTTTGTGTGTTTGTGTGTGTGGGCGTGTGAGGATGAGGTTTAGGAGGAGGAGGAGGAGGAGGAGGAGGAGGAGGAGGAGGAGGAGGAGGAGGCGGAGGAGGAGGAGGAGTTTTAGGAGGAGGAGGAGGAGGGCCAGGAGGAGGGCGAGCGTTCCGCTCGGCCGGCCAGGTACCTCGCGGAGGAGGGGGAGACCTATCCCCGCCAGCCCGAGCCCGCCGACGGCGAACGGCCGCGCCTGCTGCCGCCGCGGGTCTTCCTCTACCGAGGCGGGGCGCCCGCGGGACCCAGATCTCCGACGATCGGATGTTTGGGGGTGAGATCGAAGTCATCATCGTCATCGTCATCGTCATCATCGCCATCATCATCATCATCATCATCATCATCATCATCATCATCATCATCATCATCATCATCATCATCATCATCATCATCATCATCATCATCATCATCATCATCATCATCATCATCATCATCATCATCATCATCATCATCATCACAATCATCATCACCATCATCATCGTCATCATCACCATCACCCATCATTATCATCATCATCACCATCATCATCCTCATCACCATCATCAGCATCACCATCAGCATCATCATCACCATCACCCATCATCATCATTATCATCATCATCATCATCACCCATTATCATTAGCATTATGATAATCATCATCGTCACCACCATCACCATCATCACCATCATCATCATGTTCAGCATCGCCATCATCACCATCATCACCATCACCATCATTATCATCATCATCACAATCATCATCAGCATCATCCGAATCATCACCATCAGCAGAAGCCATCACCAACCATCATCACCATCATCACCAGGGGGTTGAGATCGCAGCGGAACGGAGACCCCCCCGCCGGGGAGCCGGTCTCGGTTTCGTGTGCGTGCCGTCGTGCGGCCGGGGCGAAGACGGCGCGGATGGGCGGGAGGATGGAACCCTCCCCTGTCGGGGCGCCGCTGGGGCAGGAGTCCACCACCCCCCCCGCCCGGAATGCCGCCTGTTGATGGGGCCGAAAACAGCCCGAGGGGCGGGCATTGCGTGCACCAACGGCGCCCCTAGAAAAAACACATAAAACACACACACAAAAAACAAACAAACACACAAAAAACACAGAACACACAAAACACACACAAAAACACACAGACACACACACACAGACACACAGACACACAGACACACAGACACACAGACACACAGACACACAGACACACAGACACACAGACACACAGACACACAGACACACAGACACACAAACACACAGACACACAGACACACAGACACACAGACACACACACACACAAAGCAACACAAAGTTACACAAAGAAACACAAAAACACACACACACAAAACACACACACACAAAAAAATCACACAAAAACAGACGTTCGAACAAACAGATAAGCGCCGCAAGCACGCAAGCTTCTGGCCCTCCGCGCGGAGTTCTGGGACCCGCGCGGTCCAGCGCAGGTCCAAGAGCTCCGCGCGGAGCGCCAAAAGTTATGTTTCTGGCGTTTTTTTCTGTTGTTGTTGTTGTTGTTGTTGTTGTTGTTGTTGTTGTTGTTGTTGTTGTTGTTGTTGTTGTTGTTGTTTGTTTCTCTTCTTCTTCTTCTTCTTCTCCTCCTCCTTCTTCTATACATGCATGTTGCGCTCCCCTGGGAAATTCGCCCCCGTCGTCGCCCCCGCGCATGACCCTGCCAATCTTGGCGTCTCTTCTTCGTCTCCCCCCTCCGGGGCCCGCCGTCGGGCTCCGGGGCGCAGAGCTTGTCCCCCGAGAAGGCTCGATGATCCCCAGGGCGCTCCGACGACTCGCGAAACCCCCTGTTCAGGTCCATGGGGAGGGGGTAGGGGGAGGGGCCAAGACCCCCTCCCCGCCCGCAAGCCGTCTCGCTCGCTCCCACCCGCCCTCCCAACACATACGTAGCACCCGAGTCTGGCCCGAGCTTCAGCATATTCAGCAGTCGTCTTTGGATGGGTAGCTACTGGGAGCCAATCCGACGCCGCCACCGCCGCCGCCTCCGCCGCCGCCGCCGCCGCCCGCCGCCGCCGCCGGCCGCCGCCGCCGCCGCCGCCGCCGCCGCGCCGCCGCCGCCGCAGCCCCCGCCGCAGCCGCCGCCGCCGCGGCGCCGCCGCCGCCGCCGCGCCGCAGCCGCTGCCGCCACCGCCCGCCGCCGCCGCCGCCGCCGCCCCCCGCTGCCAAACCGCCTCCGCCGCCGCAGCCGCTGCCGTCACCGCCACCGCCGCCGCCGTGCCGCCGCCGCCGCCGCCGCCGCCGCAGCCGCCGCAGCCACCGCCGCCGCCGCCGCAGCCGCCGCAGCCGCCGCCGCCGCCAAGTGTACGCTGTATTGTTTTTTGACAAGGATGGTGGGGGGGGGGCCGCATCGGTTTGGCTGCGAACGTTCCGAATTTGGAGGCAGAGTGTGTTTTGTATTGTTTTTTACAAGGAATGGTGGGGGGGGTTGTCATGGACCCTGGTTGGCCCCCAGTCGCCTGGGGGAGGGGGTGTTTATTAATAGGGAACAGTGATAAACCCCTCCCCGAAGGGGAAGGAGGGGTGGAAGAGGAAACGCTCTGAACCACCGACGCCCAGAGGGCTGGTGGGATTGTCCCCCGAGAAGGCTCGATGATCCTGAGGACGTGTGATAGCTTTTTTTTTTGTTTGTTTTCCAGCTCCTCCGATAGCACCCAGCCTACGTCGACCCTCATTACACCTGCCTGCGTCGTGTTGAAGGGCTTCGGTGGACGAGCACACGTAGGCGCCAACACACGTTCTGAGGATCATCGGCAGGGAAGCCATCTTGCATGGAGCCAACATCAGGGCGGATTTCGATCGGAAAACGATCGGATGGGCCCAGCTTGTCCTGGAGAATTTTGCTCCGGACTTCGAGGTGAAATTCGTGCGGATCGTTTCTGGCCAGGAATGAAAACCAAACAAACCTCCACGCGAAATTCGCTTCGTCTTTCGCTCGCCGCTTTGGGCGAAAATCCACGCAACAATCCACGCAGAAAACCGCTGCAGCACGTTTGCAAGGCCAGTGCAATGACATCTTGTCGGACGTTTGTGTCCACCGCGCGGCTGCGCGCGGGGCCACGCTGCGCTGCCGCTCCGCCGGCCTCCCTGGGCTCGGCGTCTCCCTCTCTCTCCTGCCAGTCCCGTGGCCCCTTTGCCCCTCCTCCCCCTCCCGTGCCCCCCCTTCCCCTCCTGGCGCTCGCGCCAGGGGCGGCACCAGCAGCTGCTCGGTCTCCCCCCCCCCCCGATCCTTCGTCTCCTCCTCCTCCTCCTCCTCCTCCTCCTCCTCCTCCTCCTCCTATTCCCTTGTCGGCACTGCGGCTGGGAGCAAACTGGCAGACCGACCCCGCCCGGCTGGGGAGACCACCGTTCCGCCAGCGAAGGATCTCCGGAGGCTGCCCGACGCCGCATGCCGATCGATGGGGGCAGGGGGGGAGCGCCCAGCGGGGAGGGCAGGCGGTGCCTGCCAGACCAGACGGGAACGTGCTGACGAAGGGCCCCTGCACGAGGTTAGGTTGGGCCTGTCCCCCTACAGGGGGATTTTGTACGAAAAATGTAAAAAACACAAAAAGTACGCCCAAAAATCTACAGAAATATAGAAAAAATTGTCCCCAGACCATTTTAAATTATTTTTGAACATTCCCCCTGTAGAGGGACAGGCCCGACTTGAATCTGGCGGAGAGGGAGATGGCGCTCGACTGCACCTCTCCGAGGCGCCCTTTTCCCCCCCCAGTGGGCCGCAGATGGGGCCTCGCGCGCGGCACCGCACGATGGACCGCGGGCGACGGCGCACACGACCAGGCAGACCCCGACGTCGTGATTTTTCACGACGTGGACCCCCGGAGGTCTGCACCCGCAGACGACAAGACTGAAGTCGGGCACCTTTACAGGAAGATAAATCCCAAACTAGTCGGGGGACGATCTCTGATTTTTTGTAACATCTCTCTCTATATATATATATATATGTTATATATATATATATATATATATATATATAAAACACCTTTCCTTCAAAATCCGCCTGTAGGAGGACATGCCCGACCTAAGACAAGGCCTGTTTTTCACCCCGAGGCGTTTCGAAACCGCCCTGCGGCCTGGCGAGGGCCCCTGGAGGCCGAAAACGGCCAGCAACCGTGTGTCGTGATTTTTCCAGCCAGTCCGAGCATGTCCGTGGTCGTGGCGCATTGGGCCGTGGCGCCTTGGGCATCGCATCAATCTACTGGTGCGCGATGCTTCCAAATGTTACTTTCCATTTCTACGGGAAGCGTGACCCTTGACAGTCGGGGTGTCTGAAAATCAAGAGTGGTCTACCAATGTGCACTCCAGATTTCGTAAGAATGTGGGGGGCTCGTCACAACCTTACCAGACGAGCAATTTCAGACACCCCTCTAGACCAGCCATGACAGGGCTGCCTCTTGCCCAGACCCCCCCGAACCCTCAAGACAGCTCATATCAGACCCCGCCAAAATGTGACCCCCCCCTGACGGACGACGACGACGACGACGACGACGACGACGACGCTGGAGGCGGAGGCGGCAGAGGCGGCGGCGGCGGCGGCGAGGGCGGCGCTGGCTGCGGCGGTTGCGACGGGGCGGTGCGACGACGATGACGACGACGTCGACGACGAGGACGACGGCGATGACGGCGGCTACGACGACGACGAGGGCGAGGACGAGGACGACGAGGATGAGGACGAGGACGAAGACTAGGACGAGGACGAGGACGACGACGACGACGATCTCATTAGGAAATCGGGAGTACTCTTCCCTGGCGGGCGAGGATGGACGACAGCGACGGCGACGGCGACCTAGAACGCCTGGCCGGGGAGCGCACGCAGGCGGCGGCCTTGAGCCTCGCCCGCCGCGCGAGGTGTACCCCCGACCCCTTCCCCTTTCGACGGCAAGCCGAAGGGGCTCGAGGTTCGAGGCCTTCGAAGGTCGGCTCCCGGCGCTTCTCCGGCCTCGGGAGGCGTTCCGGGAGCTGCTCCTCGCCGAGAGCGCCGGCTGGGTGCCCGGAGGGTCCCGAGCAGCCGCCGGAGGCTCGATAGTTGTGGCCCCGGATCACCGGCAGAGTGGGCGGGCCTCCTCCGAAGGCTCGGAAGAGGCCTCCGGCCTTCCGAGAGGTTTTTTTCTGGGCCTGCCCCGAAGACACAGAGAGAGCCTCTCGGAAGGCTGGAGGGCTTGCGAGAAGCCGCGCCGCCTGCTGAGAAGCACTGCGCCGTCTCCCTCCCCCACCTCGCAGGGCCACCTGCGATCCGATCCGACGCGATCCGATTCGCCGGCGGGGGCCGCGATTCCCAGCCGGTGCGCTCCAGCTCTCGTCACCGGCAGCGGCCAGGGCCAGCCGGGAGCGGGGCGCGGCGATTCGATACCGACCCGATTCGGAAGATTCGCTGGCGATTCGATCGGCAGTCGTCCGGCTGTGGGCTTCCCGGAATCGGCTCAGAAACCACCTTCTTCGTGGCGATCCCAGGTTTCCCATCATTCGCGGGCCCGCGATCCGATCCGCCCTCGACTGCGCGAGCCGGCTGCGCGAGCCGATCCGACTGCAGGCCTGCCTCGCCCGCCGCCGAAGAGTTGTCTGCCCCGGTGCCGCGGCGCGAGAGGCTTCGCGGCGACGGCCGTGCAGGTCTCGCGGGGCCCGTGCCTGAAGGCGCGGCGCCCGCCCTCGTCTCGGCGGCGCTCGCGGGGTTTGGGTCGGAGGAGGGCCATGGTCCAGGCAGCGGCGGCCCTCCCCGGCGTGTTTTTTTTTTTTTGGTTTGTGTGAGCTCCATGGTCCTCTCCTGGAGGCTTCTCGTCGCCGAGGCCAGGTCGGGCACGTCCCTCTACAGGAGGTATATTCAAGAATAGTCAGAAAATAGTCGTGGGGAAGATTCTACGTTTTTTTGTTGTTTTGTTGTTTTTTGTATGTTTTTGTTGTTCCTTCTTCATTTTGTGTCTATTTTAATTTTTTCCGCGAAGATCCGCTTGTAGGGGGACGTTCGCGACCCAACCCTGGCGTGTCTTTGTTGAGCTCTTCCCTCCTCCTGGAGACTTCTCGTCGCCAAGGCTGGATCCGCCTCGAAGAACGGGTCCGGATGGAGTCCATCGGGGGCCCGGGGACCGATTTTGAGTGGAGTTGGGCCACAGGCGGGAGCGCGGCCCGCGCCTGAAGGCGCGGTGCTCCCCTCAGGAGCAGCGGCAGGGGCGGGGGTGGGGGGGACGTTTTTTTTTTGTTCCCCCCCCCCGGGCGTTCTCGGCGGCTCTTCAGTCTCGGGTTGAGTCGGGCGTGTCCCTCTACAGGAGGAAGATGCAAAGGAACAGTGAAGAAGCAGTCCGGGGACGGTTTTTTTGATGATCTTTACCTATTTTGGAGTATTGTTGGAACATCTTTTTTTGGTTTGTCCAACAAAATCTCGCTGTAGGAGGACGTGCCCGACCTAGGCCTCGGGGTGCTCTCCAGCAGCTGCGCCTCGCCGAGTACCGCCGGGGGCTGCCCGGCTCGTCCCGAGCGGTCGCCAGAGAGACCCCCCCAAATCGCCCATGCATCGCCGGCGGGGGGCTCGAGAGAGGCCACCTCGCCCAGAGGTTGCGTGCGGTCTCGCTGTTGGGGGCCTGGCGCCGAGCCGTCGGGGTTGAGCTGTTGTCGGGCACGTCCCCTCTCCAGGAGGAATTATATTCAACAAAAACTACAAAACAGTGTGGGGCCGAGTTTTTCGAACATGTTGGCGTATGTCTGGACTTTCAGTTTTGGCTCAGGATCCGCCTGTAGGGGGACATGCCCGACCTGATTGTATTGCCGATTCCGAGTTGATGTTCCCGCCCCTAGGCTGGTCCCCCCTCAACGTTGCCCCTCATGTAGCCCAGTCAGGAGCCGTGCGCCAGTCTTTGTCTCTGAGTGAGAGGCCGGGGCGGGGTCCAAGCCAGGGCCAGGGCCCGGCATCGAAGAGGACCAAGAAACGTGTCCCCCTCAAGGTGGAGTGATATGGTGGGGATCAGCAGGTTTTGGCACTTCTCTTGCAGGTTGTCGATCCGCACCTGCGACATCGAAGCCATCGCATTTGGAGACCGCCCTGAGCAGGCTGCACCGCTCAGCCCTCCTTGGGGAAGCAGGAGCGGCAGCCTAGCGGCAGCCTAGTATCAGCAGCACTAACAATCTTATGAAAAGGCAGTGCTATATATAAACGTACTACGAATATCACACTAATACTGTAAACTAATGTAAACTATCGTCGCGCCCAAACAATTATTTGTAGCAATGCCTGTTCATCGTTCTTAATTATATGCGGAGCCATCTATGTTGGGCAGTCTATGTGGTACAGTATATGTTGTGTAATCCACGTAGTGTAATGTATGTTGTGCAATCAATGTGGTGCCCAGCAGATGTGGTGCAATCTCTGTGGTGCAAATGATGTGGTGCAATGTATGTGGTGCAAGCTATGTTGTGCAACCTAGGTGGTTCAATTTTTGTGGTGCAATATATGTGGAGCACTCTATGTGGGGTAATCTATGTAGTTCAACTTGTGTGGTGCAAGCTATGTTGTGCAATCTATGTGGAGCAATCTGTGCGGAGCAAAGCGACGGGGCGGCGACGAGGCGGCGACGGGGCGGCGACTGGGCGGCGACGGCGACAACTTAGCCGCCAGGCCGCCATCTAGGCCCAGTACCGTAGAACAGAAGCAAGAGACCCTAATTGCAAACACTGCTCGGGGAATAAGGAGAAAGAGCCTTCCTGGATGAGAGGGGCTCTGGAGGTTCTTCGCAGTCTACGGGCTCCCAGGGCCCTCTCCTGGCCCTGGGATCGGTAGTCGCTGCAAAACGTGGCTGCACGAGGCCCGCCATCGATGCCCCATGCGGAGCGGAGCGAGAGAAAGCAGAAGCATGGGGGCCCGCCACGCACCAGCCGCTCCTCCGTGCTGTGGCGGATCGGCCACTGCTTTGGCGATGAGTGCTTCGGGTGCACCTCCTGCAAGTTCAGCATCGGCGCTGGTGCATTCGTGGCCCAATCCGGCATGCTCCCGCTAGATTCCGCTCAATCCGGCTTCATCCTGGGCCTACCTACTCTGGGCTCATCCGGCTATGTGGTCCCGTAATCGGGCCCAATTGCTTGTTTTTCCTTGAGGAGACCTGCCAGGAGTTGCCTCCTGAGAGTGTGAGGGCCCGCCCCTTCGGTAGCGAATCATGGGAGTCTTGAAAAACCTTGTAATTCATTCCGTTTTCAGAGCACGTTAGCGTCGATGAGCGTCTGGTAATCCATAAGATAGCGCTTGCTTAGCGTCGATTGGCGTCGAGTGGCGTCGATTCAGCGTCGGTGAGCGTCGGTGAGCGTCGATGAGCGTCGATGAGCGTGGATTCGCAGGAGCCACGAGGATGGCATGGGAGGCTCCCGCGATTTAACCGCAGAACCGCCGCCGTTCCCGAGGTCGACCTGTCCGTGCGCATGATACAGGGGCAGACCGCCCTCAGCAAGGCGGGGGGCGGAGCGGCGACGGCGACGGCGACGACGGCGACGGCGACGGCGACGGCGACGGCGACGGCGACGGCGACGGCGACGACGACGACGACGACGATGACGACGACGACGGCACCGCTGAAGAGGAGGGGGAGAAGGAGGAGGAGGAGGAGGAGGAGGAGGAGGAGAAGCAGGAGAAGCAGGAGGAGCAGGAGAAGGACGGCGGCGAGCGGCGGCGGAGCGCGCCCTTCCGTGCCAGGGCGGTATGCGAGCAGCCGCCGCGTCACGCCTCCACCTCCTCCCTCTTCTTGAGCTTTCGGGGGCCTCTTCGTCGCCGAGGCTGCCCGCAGCTCGCCAGATTGGCCAGATGGGTTCTCATGGGAGGGGTCCAGGGGTCGACCTCAAGCTTGAGTCGGGCGTGTCCCTATACAGGAGGAATATTCAGAAATAGTTCAAAAATAGTCAAGGGGCGATTTTTCTAATATGACATGTTTTTTGTTGGGGCACTTTGAGTATTTTTTATTCCCCATATCCTAAGATGGGGTTCTTGTTATTACTTGGACGCCTCCTACTCCCTCTCCCTCCTCCTCTTTCCTCCTCCCCTCCTCCTCTTTCCTCATACTCAAACCTACTCATACTCAGACTTACTCATACTCAGACTTACTCATACTCAGACCTACTCATACTCAGACTTACTCACACTCAGACATACTCATACACAGACTTACTCATACACAGACTTACTCACACCCAGACGTACTCATACACAGACTTACTCATACCCAGACTTACTCATACACAGTATTACTCATACTCAGACTTACTCATACCCAGACGTACACATACACAGACTTTCTCATACACAGACCTACTCATACCCAGACTTACTCATACACAGACTTACTCATACACAGACTTACTCATACTCAGGCATACTCATACTCAGACCTACTCATACTCAGACTTACTCAACACACATCAGATTTGGAGGATGTCTCAAGCGGGGCGCTGGTTTCAGCACCCCTAAGGGGAGCCGCCAGGGGTGTTTGCACGGGCTCGTTCGCGGCCATTTTGTGGGGATGTCTCAGGCGGTTTGCTTGTTTCTGGGCTCAACATCCTTCGCTTGGAGAGCAGATTGTGAGGATGTCTCAGGCGGGGCGCTGGTTTCAGCACCCCTAAGGGGAGCCGCCAGGGGTGGTTGCACGGGCTCGTTCGCGGCCATTTTGTGGGGATGTCTCAGGCGGTTTGCTTGTTTCTGGGCCCAACATCCTTCGCTTGGAGAGCAGATTGTGAGGATGTCTCAGGCGGGGCGCTGGTTTCAGCACCCCTAAGGGGAGCCGCCAGGGGTGGTTGCACGGGCTCGTTCGCGGCCATTTTGTGGGGATGTCTCAGGCGGTTTGCTTGTTTCTGGGCCCAACATCCTTCGCTTTCGGAGCAGATTTGAGGATGTCTCAGGCGGGGCGCTGGTTTCAGCACCCCTAAGGGGAGCCGCCAGGGGTGTTTGCACGGGCTCGTTCGCGGCCATTTTGTGGGGATGTCTCAGGCGGTTTGCTTGTTTCCGGGCCCAACATCCTTCGCTTGGAGAGCAGATTGTGAGGATGTCTCAGGCGGGGCGCTGGTTTCAGCACCCCTAAGGGGAGCCGCCAGGGGTGGTTGCACGGGTTCGTTCGCGGCCATTTTGTGGGGATGTCTCAGGCGGTTTGCTTGTTTCTGGGCCCAACATCCTTCGCTTGGAGATCAGATTGTGAGGATGTCTCAGGCGGGGCGCTGGTTTCAGCACCCCTAAGGGGAGCCGCCAGGGGTGGTTGCACGGGCTCGTTCGCGGCCATTTTGTGGGGATGTCTCCGGCGGTTTGCTTGTTTCTGGGCTCAACATCCTTCGCTTGGAGAGCAGATTGTGAGGATGTCTCAGGCGGGGCGCTGGTTTCAGCACCCCTAAGGGGAGCCGCCAGGGGTGGTTGCACGGGCTCGTTCGCGGCCATTTTGTGGGGATGTCTCAGGCGGTTTGCTTGTTTCTGGGCTCAACATCCTTCGCTTGGAGAGCAGATTGTGACGATGTCTCAAGCGGGGCGCTGGTTGCAGCACCCCCATGGGGAGCCGCCAGGGGTGGTTGCACGGGCACGTTCGCAGCCATATTGTGGGGATGTCTCAGGCGGTTCGCTTGTTTCTGGGCTCAACAGGGAGGGAAATGACAGGAACGAGGATGAGGAGGAGGAACAGGAGGAGGAGGAGGAGGCGGGGGATCGTGAGGAAGGGCATGGGGGTGCGGAGGGGGAGGGGGAGCAGGAGGATGAGGAGGAGGAGCAGGAGCAGGAGAAGGGAGGGGGCGGAGGAACAGGAGGAGGAGGAGGAGGAGGAGGGCGCTTTGCTCGAAGGTCCTTGACGCGAGCAGAACGTTTGTTCCGAAGTCCAGGACATATATATATATATATATATATGTATTCATAGGGGGTGACTGCGAGGGGGGGGCGGTGGTTGTGTGCGGGGATCGTTGGAAATGCTCACCGTGGCACTATCCTCCAACATGACATGCACTTATGGCCTTGTGTGGCTAAACGCTCGTCTTACATATCCCACTGCCAACTATCCTACAACATATGCACATGTGGGAAGCTCCAAAGCTACCACGGGCTGAAAAGGGGAAGGCCTGGCAGCTGAGGAGGGGGGATGAAGAGAAAGAGGCTCGCATTCAACCATACTCAAAGCTCACTCTGACTCATACGCAATCACTCGCATTAGGGGTCACTCGTCTTCGTCGGCCCTGTCGCCCACGTGGACGCGCTATTGTAGTCGACCGCTCATGAACAGACGCTCACCACGGCATGACATAAAACATGAGATGCACATATGGGGAGCTCCACGCAGTGAGTAATTTTTCATCCCAAATCCGCCTGTAGGAGGACACGCCCGACCTAGCCTTAAGCGAAGGTGTCGGTCGCCCGCGGGGGCGGAAAAGTCATCGCGCCTCTCTCTCCGCGGTCCCGCCCGGGGCGTCGAAGCGCCGAGCTTCCCTAAACGGGGTTGGGCGCGGTCGCGGGGGTATGGTTGTGCTCCGGCGCTGCGCGCGGCGCGAGGTACGAAGGTATTCTGGGTGGGGTATTGATCACTTGGGGGGTGTTTGACATTCAGACGGAGCTTGCCCATCCCACCCCTCTCCTTCCTCTTCCAGTCCTTGTCCTTACGGACAACTCTCCCCTGTCGCAGCCCGAGGCCAGTCGAAAGGGCGGGCCGGGCGTTTCGCCTGAGACCTCCGCACACATGAGACCCTTGTGTGCAAAAACCGACAGCAGTTTTACAAATGGAGGGCGGGTCGTTTTCAAAATGTGTCTCTCGCCTGAGCGCCGCGCGTAATTATTATTATTATTGTTGTTATTATTGTTATTATTACTTACAATTATTATTAGGATGATTATCATTACTATTTCATTATTATTACTATTATTGTTTTTGTTTGTTCGGCCACATTTGCAGCAGTTTCACTTATTGAGGGCTGTTGTTTTTTTCAACATGTGGCTATTGTTTGAGCGCTGCGCACATTCGCTTTTAATATTTGCGAAAAGTTTCACGGATGGAGGGCGGGTCGTTTTCAAAATGTGGCTCTCGCCCCAGCGCCGCGCACATTGGTTGTAAACGTATGCAAGTGTTTCCACACTTGAGGGCGATTCGTTTTCAAAATGTGGCTCTCGCTTTAGCGCCGCGCGCACTCGTTTTCAAACAATTGCACGAGTTTCACGGGTTGAGGGCTTATCGTTTTCAAAATGTGGCTCTCGCCCCAGCGCCGCGCTCATTCGTTTTCGGACATTTGCAAGAGTTTCATGGATTGAAGGCCGTTCGTTTTCAAAATGTGATTCTCGCATCAGGGCGGCGAACATTCGATAAACACATGTGGAAGAGTTTCACGGATTGAGGGCGGGTCGTTTTCAACATGTGGCTCTCGCTCTAGCACCGCGTACATTCGCTGTCAACACTTGCAATCGTTTCACGAATTGACGGTGATTCGTGTTTAAAGTGTGGCTCTCGCCTTAGCGCCGCGCACATTCGTTTCCAGCATTAGGAAGAGCTTCGATGTTTCTCATGGTTAACGAGCGTACCAGAGATGTTTATCGGAGTGGTTCAGGATTGTCAGGGCGCAACACTTACGTTGGTTCGCGGTGTTCAAGTCCCAGGAATGGTGTTCTGGCAGAATTCAGGATCGCCAAGACGTAAGAGTCAGGTTAACTCGTGGCGTTGAAGTGCTGAGAATCGTGTTTTGGCATCCTTCAAGATGTTTATGCGGCTGTGCCCCAACGGGGCAATTCCTTTGACCCTTTGTAGGGGCCTATGGAGAGGGATCTTGGAGGGAGGGTTGATTCCAGCATTGTGGATGAGTCTTGGGTTTCCAGTTGTCCTCCTCCTCCTCCTCCTCCTCCTCCACCCCGCCTCCAACTGTTCCGACAGCACGTGCCCCCCCCCCTCCCCGCAGATCCACGGTGGGGGGCGACTATTACCCCATCCAGAGTAAGGGAAAACGAATCGCATTGGGATAAACGGGGATCTTTAATATCCGGCGGCTATGGAGGATGTATCGGGCGCCGCGACCTTCTCAGAGAGTTCTGGAACGCTCTGAGAGCGTGCCCAAACGCTCGCGCGATTTACCCCGATTCTGGACCCAAGTCGTAGGTGGCCTAGACGCGATGAGCAGTTTCACTCACCTCCCAGACGGCACGTAAATGCGCGCGCATCTCAGCGCGCGCGCGCGCGCCTCAGCCCGCGGGTGCCGCGTCGGTGCATGCCACACGGCAATCATCCAGGCACGCGCGCACTTTCCAGGTTGCCCCGCGCGCGTCGGTGTGAGGACCGCGTGAAGGGTGGAATGCGTCAGTCGAGGAGATTTGTACATACTCATTGCCCTCGGCCATGCCCATCCTCGGCCCAGGATCGGTGTACATGCCTCCCTGGCCAAGGCTACGGGTGCGTAGACGCCGATCCTGGGCCCAGGATGAGCCTGACCAGAGGCGGTGGATGTGCATAGATCGCGTC